AATATCGCTGACAGAAGGTCATTACAAATTACATCACTCAAAGTTGATAGATTACAATGTTACCTCTGTTGTGTTGACTGTTCAGTTAGTCTAACGTTAGTATAATAAGTCCTTTGAATTTAAGTTTGTTAATTGATTCAATAAGTATAATGATAATAGAAGATACTGACAGATATACAATTTTATTTTATTTTTGGTGGTGAAGTGTTGATACGTTATATAGGTGAATATATGGCTCGTCAGTGTCAGCTACAAGTTCGGTAGCAAAGGGTTTTAATAAGGCTATCTAGTTTGCCTTTTTTTTTTTTTTTTTTTTTTTTTTTTTTTTTAAATTTTTAGCTCGGGTACCTTGTTTATTTTTCATTTCTCATGCAACAAGATATACTATATTTCACACTACGTTAATGGAGACCTACACGGTTACTTTAAAGTTCATGTCGAATGGCTAGTACTTTAAATTGTGTATCATGGAATGTCAGGGGTTTAAATAATCCAGTTAAAAGAAAGAAGGTGCTTTCATATTTGAAAAGGGTAAACACTGATATAGCTTTTATTCAGGAGACTCATCTTACAGATCAGGAACATAAAAAACTTAGGAGAGAATGGGTTGGTCAGGTCTATTACTCATCATTCTCATCTAGTGGTCGAGGTGTAGCATTATTAATTCATAAAAAAATACAATTTAACTTGATTAATACACAATCTGATAATACTGGAAGATATGTAATTGTTGAATGTGAGTTAAACAGGGAGCATATAACCTTGGTAAATGTCTATGGTCCAAACCATGATGATCCAATTTTTTTTAGTAAATTACTATTAAGATTAGCTACTGTTAAGGGCAACTGTATTTTTGGAGGTGACTTTAATCTAGTTCTAGATCCTCTTAAGGATAGATCCTCAAAAAAATCTCCTAAATCAAAAGCAGCAGCTATTTTGAGTCAAGGAATGACTGACTTGGGGCTGTATGATGTGTGGCGCAATCTCTATCCAGACCAAACTGATTACTCATTTTATTCAAATGTACATAATGTTTACTCAAGAATAGATTTCTTCTTAGCATCACAATCAATAGCTTACCAAGTGAAGGATTGCGTTTTCCTTCCTGCATCCATCTCTGACCACAACCCTGTTAAGCTTACGTGGGAACCAACAATGGCTTTACCCTACTCTAAAAACTGGAGATTTAGAACTTATATGCTGAAAGACCCAGACTTTATCCAGTTTATGACAAATCAAATTCAAATTTTTCTTAAGGCTAATGCTAATTCAGCTTCACATTCAATTATATGGGAGGCACTTAAAGCATTTATGAGAGGACATATTCTCTCATACGGGGCATATAAACAAAAAGAAAAGAGAGCTGTTTTAACAGAGTTAGAAAAAGAAATAAGATCATTGGAATTAGAACATTCATTGACTAATAATGAAGATTGTTTGACACAACTTACTCAAAAACGGGTATTATACAATAACATGTGCACCCAGAAGGTTGAGTCTATTATGGCAAGAACAAAATATCACTACTACGAATTTGGAGATAAGACTAGCAGATTATTGTCATGGCAAATTAAAAAAGAAGAATCAGATCGATATATTCACATGATACAATCAAATGACGGAAGATATATAAAGGACCCTAAAGAAATTAATATTTTATTTAAGGACTTTTATGAAACTTTGTACAAAACTGATCACGGTCAGGGAAATGTTGATGCTAAATCTTTTTTAAATAAAATACAGGTACCTAAGATTGGTGATGAGGATAATAAACTATTGAATTCAGACATAACGGAGAATGAGGTACTTAAAGCCATTAATGCTTTGGAAAATAACAAGGCCCCTGGACCAGACGGCTTCCCGATTGAGTATTTTAAGTCGTTTTCAAATATATTATTAACTCCTTTCACAAACATGATCAAAGAATCACTTGAGAGAGGCTCACTTCCACACTCTCTGGAATTGGCAACAATAACACTACTTCCTAAACCAGGGAAAGATAGGCAAAAATGTGGGTCTTATAGGCCGTTAAGTCTTCTTAATGCTGATTATAAAGTTTTGACCAAATTGCTTGCCCTAAGACTAGAAACTGTTATAACAAAAGTAATACATCCAGACCAGACAGGATTCGTTAAGAATAGACAAGGATCAGATAACATTAGAAGGCTATTACATATAATTGATATTGCTCAAAAGCAGAAATTATCAATGTTTATTCTGTCTATGGATGCCGAAAAGGCTTTTGACAGAATTGAGCCTACTTTTCTTTTTGCAACCATAGAAACTATGGGCTTTGGTTCTAAGTTCATTGGATATTTAAAAGCTATTTTTGATTCCCCTAAAGCACAAATATACACCAATGGTATTATGTCAAGCACCTTTGCATTATCTAGAGGTTGTAGGCAAGGCTGTCCTATATCTCCCTTATTATTTGCCTTGGCTGTTGAACCTCTCGCTATCGCAATAAGGTCCCATACGGTAATAAAGGGAATTAAAATTGGTTCTAATGAACACAAATTATCCCTTTATGCTGATGACCTGTTGATATACCTGACCAATCCACAATTCTCTATTCCCCCCTTGCTACGTGTTTTTGAGGAATACAGTGATATATCTGGCTATAAATTGAATTATGACAAGAGTGAAGCATTTCCTATCAATATACCAGATGAGTTAAAATATATGGTTACACCACTAACACTGTGCACTAATGGGTTTAAATATTTAGGTATTCAGATTGATTTAACACATGTCGACATGTTCAAAAAAAATTACTTCATACTTCTGGAAAGAGTGAAAGATGATATGCTAAAATGGAAAGAATTACCCTTATCATTAATTGGCAGAGTCAATGTTATAAAAATGGTAATTTTACCTAAGTATATGTATGCATTTCAGTGTCTCCCCTTGAATATCCCTAAGTCTTATTTTAAGGAACTAGATAAAGCGCTTTCTGGCTTTCTGTGGAAAGGCAAAAACCCTAGAGTCAAACTTCTTAAACTTCAAGCACCGTATAAGAAAGGTGGGCTAAACCTTCCCAATTTTAGACACTACTACCTAACTTCGCAGTTTCGGCCTATATGGGTCTGGTTACATCCCGATAAGGTTGATACTAACTGGACAGTGATAGAACAGTGGGAGATGGGTTCCATCCCACTAAAGGTAATTCCTTTTTTGGGGTCAAAAAGATGTCTGTCTAAATTCACTAAAAACCCGTTAATACTTCATACTTTTTCTGCATGGATGGAATCGCATAATCTATGCAGCCTTAGTATTGCTCCACTTAGACATTCACCCCTTTGTGAAAACCCTATTATACCTCTTGGTATTGCTGATAGTACCCTAAAAACATGGGCGAGTAAAGGTTTAAAGACACTGGACGACTTGTATGCCAATAACTCTTTAATGAGCTTTGAATTGCTATCCCAGAAATATAAAATCCCCAAACATAATTTCTTCAAATATTTGCAAGTTAGGCATTGGGTCAAAGAGATCACCCCCCAGACATTTCCTAAAATTCCAACACTGTCGCCATTTGAAAATGTTATGTTTAACAAGATTGTGTCCTCCCCAAAAGGTATTGCTTCTGTAGGATACAGCACATTAACAAATAACTTTAAACCATTTGACAACTTAATCTTGAAGCAGAGGTGGGAAAGAGATCTTGACTGTGCATATGATCTGGTGGAGTGGGAATGTGTTATGGAAAGAATGCAGACTATTTTAATATCTACCAAACATAGACAAATCCAATTTAATATTCTGCATCGAACATATTATACTCCTCAGAAACTTCACATGTTTAATACGGACATACCTGCAAAATGTCAAAGGTGTAAGAGGGCTGAAGGCGATTTACTCCACATGCTTTGGAATTGTCCTATTTTGAATGACTTTTGGGAATATATAATTGATATTTCTTCAAAGGTTATAGGTATCCCAATTAGTGTTGATCCTAGGATTTGGATATTAGGGGATACTGATTTATTAAATTCCTCTCATCATAAAAAGTATTTCACACTATTGGCAGGAACTGCGGGGAAAAAATGTATACTAGTGAACTGGAAATCGACTCATTCTCCATCAAGAAAACAATGGATCAATGAACTCATTTCATATTGCACCCCTGAGAAAATCCTTTTCAATGTTAGGAAATCACCGAAAACTTTTGGAAAAATTTGGGGATCTTTTTTGGAGCATTTACCTTCTCTTATTGCAAATTAATTGCAATCACATTCCTTACATTTTAGATTTTATATGATTAGTGCAGTGAAATAAGTGAGGTCTGAATTGCGTGTTTTTTTTTTTTTTTTTTTTTTTTTTTTTGGGGTGGGAGGGGGGGTTGTTATGTAGTCTGATTTTGTAAAAGAAAAATGTCAATTCTTATGTTATGTATATATGTTTTGTTTCATGTATCATAACTGAAAATAAAACTATATAAAAAAAAAAATTATGTACAACGCTACATATATAAAAAAAAATTTAATGAATCCGGAAATTTACGCCAGAACCACTTTACACACAATTTACACAAAAATTCGTTCTGCTCGTGTTTCATGAATGAGACCCATAGTCTTTAGTGGTTCTGGAGAGATTTGACAGGTGAAATGGACTGGTATTTTCATACAATTTGCCATTACTGCCACCTGCTAGTGAGTGCTGTGTGAGTTGCTTTTAAAGTAGACCTAATTGTATGGGAGAAAAGGGAAACATTTTGTGAACCGGTCTGAAAGTTTAAAAAGATTGGTATATTCATACAAGTAGCCTTTGTTGCCACCTAGTTCATTATTTGCAAATAAATGATAGGCTGTTACTGTTTTACACCGTGATATGTTCCGAATCCAAACGATGCATCTTAAAATTGAGGCATTAAAATTGACAACTGGTCCCTGGAATTTTTTTTATGAATATGCTGGTCCCTGGCACAAAAAAGGTTGGGAACCCATAGTATTCAGATTCAGGAACTGAATTACAGTGGTTGCAGTTAATAAAACATTTACCTGTTGATGTGGGTAAGGCTTTGGATGGTTTGGACTGGACAATGATCCTCTTTCTCCTGTTATTTTCCCTCCACATACTAAGAATCAAAAGATTGCATCCATTATGGTTTTTACTTTCAAGTGACATAAGAGACTAGAAGTATCACAGTTTATGTAATGAATTTATTATTCTAACCCTTGTGCTTCTGATTACAGTTGACTTCATCTGAGTGGTCCTGACAGTTTGGGTGGCTGTCACAGATGGAAATAGGTAGTAAGCAACGACCACCATCACACATAAACTCTTCTCTGGAGCAGCTTTCTGATTGCATGCAGAAAGAAAACTTTAGTACATAAACAGAATTTTTTTTTGTTTAAAACACACCATGTAACATATTTTTTTATCATTTGTGATCAGAGGCCATATTCACAAAACATTTTATCTTACCACTAAGAGTTCTCCTAAATAGCAGTAAAAGTTCTTAGGTAAGAGTTTTCTCTTAAACCTATTCACAAAGCTGCGGAGACCAACTTTTACTAAGGAATATAGACAAGTCTTAAACTAAGAATAAGGGCGGGGTTGACCTCGTTGCTATGGATGATGTCAACACGCTTACTAACTATGATTGGCTGATTGGTCTCTGTCAGTGATTGATTCATAGAAATATTGTAGAACTATGTATCATATTGCCATATTCAAATAAAGGTTTTAAAATATGAATGTTGCCATATTCAAATATAGATTTTAGGGCTGTCAGTTAAACGCGTTATTAATGGCGTTAACGCAAACCCATTTTAACGGCGTTCATTTTTTTACCGCGCGGTTAACGGTCTTTTTGGCCTAGCAAGCTTTGTAGTTTTTTTCACATGTTTTTGCAACAGGACGCTGCGCTATGAAACCATTCATTTCAATGGCTTGTGCCGCACGAGGACGTTTTGTTGCTTCGTCGACCAAAGCGCAAGCGGATCCAGCTAGACCGGAAACAAAACAACAGGCACGCCGCACACACTCGTTTGGGTTTGCGAGCCGGCCAAATAGTTGGTTAACGTTACGTTTTGAGTGGATGACGAGCGCGAGACGCCGAAATGGATGCCAATAAGATTCTGAATTGAAAGTTTACTTTTAAAAAGTTGCCAAATGGTTCCATTGACGAGACCAAAGTGATCTGTGTGTTTTGTCGTTGTGAACTTAGCTATCATCATCGCAGCACGTCCAGGCTGAAATACCACTTGATGATGGCCAAGCACACACACACACACACACACACACACACAGCTGATGCGAATTCTCCGCCCCCTTGTCAATATCAGGACCTCGTCAGTATTTCTTTTACCCTTTTATTGTTGGAAAGTGTGTGAGAGATTATTTGCTCCAAGTGAGAATGTTAGTGTGAAATTGAACACAGTATATGCCGATGTTATTTTCAATAAAAAACATTTGCACAAAGCAAGCCGATCCACTTCCATGTTGATAAGAGCATTACAATGTGAAAAAATAATGGGACAAATAGAAATCAAGAGACATTTAGAATAGATAAAAATGTGTGATTAATTGTGACTAATCGCAATTTAACTATGACATTAATGCGATTAATCACGATTAAATATTTTAATCGTTTGACAGCACTAATAGATTTTAAAATAAAAATGTTGCCATATTCATATAAAGATTTTAAAAAGTAGGCTAAGTTTCACCAATTAAACAAGTATATGTTCAGCTAATTGTCAGCCTCTTACATGTCTAAATCTCAATAGATTGCAAAATTCAAGTGACAAATTATGTTTTATAAACATAGTTCGGGAGGAGCACTATGTAATCAGCTCGAGAGGAGGCATATATACTGTACACAGCCGACTCACCTAGTTATCTCGACAGTTTTCTGCATCCCCCGCCACCCCGACTCCTCACTCTCAGCCCAGCCGGGGATATGGGGGAGTACTCAGTGTTTGGGATAAATTCCGAGCTCAGAGCCCTCGATCCCCTCGGACAGCACGGCTTATTTTACTCTATCTGATAATTTGTAAGTGTGAACTGTGCAAGTTGTTTCACTGGACAGTTGTTTCAACACTGGACATCAACCACACAGCATACTCTAATACCTTTTCATATACTGTCTACTTTCTATGTATAACAGTTATATCTAATAACGTATTAGGACTGTTAGACAGATCGTAAACTAATGTACACGGAGAATGCGAGCACTATGTGCTCAGCCTATGGCGTTCTCAGCGCTGTTAAAATAAATGTCAAAATGGAGAAAAAACCTTTGGAGAAACCAGGAGAACTGGCCCCCGACTGAGCCTGGTTTTGTTCTCCATTCTGTCACCTGATCGAGTTTTGGTTCCTTGCCACTGTCGCCATTAGGGGCTTTCGCACCAGGTAGTTCTAGGAACTTGACTACTCCTAACTTTTCACAGATTTAGGACTAGGTGCTGGTTTTAGAGCTAAAATGTTTTGTGAAATACTCTTAGAGCAAAAATTTAGGAATCCTAAATTTAGGACTGACACGCCCATTATTTTTAAGATTTTCTCCTAAATCGGCAAGTGTCTTTTAGCCTTAAAATGTTTTGTGAATATGGCCCCAGAATATCATATACATTTTCACTGCTTGCTGCTCTCTTATTAGGAACAGTTTCAAATGTTTTAAAGTTTAAGGTAGAAACTGAATAATTAGACTCAGATTAAATTTTCACTATTGCATATTTATTGGATATGACACATTTAAATTGTAGACAATTTCAATAGCACCACCCACAACACAGACTGCTAGATCCACAATACAGTCTACAAGAACAATCTCAAAAACATTCCAGGCACTGCATATCAATAGCATGAGTCCATGCTTTCATTTTGCGTGCTCATTATACATAAAAGTTATCTTTTACGTGCGTCTGGTATGAACATTTTACTTTTTAACTTTGATTGCTAGGCATAGCATTCCAACAGGTATAGGTCTAGATCAGGGGTGGGGAACGTTGATCCTGGAGGGCCACTGTCCTGCAGAGTTTAGCTCCAACCCTGAAAAAAACATTCAGCTGCCTGTAACTTTAGTAATCCTGAAGACCTTAATTAGCTTCAGGTGTGTTTGATTAGGGTTGGAGCTAAATTCTGCAGGAGAGTGGCCCTCCAGGATCAACGTTCCCCACCCCTGGTCTAGATGTTTGAAACTAAAACTAAAGTATTTGGGGTTATATAAAGGTTTGGGGTTAGGTGTAGGGTTAGGCCAGGTGTGTCCAATCCAGCTTCTGGATAGCTCCAACTCCAATTAAACACACCTGCAAATCAAGGTCTTACTAGGCATAATGGAGTTATATAAAGGTTTGGGGTTAGGTGTAGGGTTAGGCCAGGTGTGTCCAATCCAGCTACTGGATAGCTCCAACTCCAATTAAACACACCTACAAATCAAGGTCTTACTAGTCATAATAGAATCTTCCAGGCAGGGGTGTTGAGGCAAGTTGGAGCTAAACTCCAGGAGCAGGTTTGGACAATCTTGGGTTAGGCTAATGAAGAAAATGCATTGATATCAATTTATTTAAAATGGTATTGGTCAGGTGATTCCACAACCATTTTAAATACATATAGATTGAAAAGGCAGCCATATTTAATGGGTTGTGAAGCTCGCGCTTACATGATCATGTTTAGTACTCGTTGTGACAAATACTGCATCACTGGCGGGATCCGCTGACCGGCCACAAAAGCAAATTCCACTGCTCTGGGTTGGGATGACATATCGTAACCCGCGCCTGGGACAGGAGGCCCCTCCTCAGCGGGACGGTCCATGGAAGTACCACCAACAACTCCATTATCTCTAAAAACCATAGCTGGTTGGACCATCTCGGTGCCACCAGTAGCACTAACTCCTGTTCCTCCCCAATCTTCTGCAGTACCAGATGCAGGAGTTGCATATTTTTCATATAATTCATATTTGTGGCCCCTTGGCCAGTAGTGAGCTAATGTGTCCACTCCCAGAGGGGATTGCATCAATGAGAAAAACATCTGGCAGTGGGTGGTCTAACACGTTCCAGATCATTTAGAGCTTACTGGGATGTAGTTAAGCAGATGAAGACGGCAGAGCAGCGCTGTCACGCCTGCCAGCCGGGGTGCCTATGATAGCCACCAGAGGGCACTCCTTCCGTCTTTGTTATCTCATCATGGACTGCATTTCCCCTAAACCCATTGCCTGGGCTCATTATGCCTGATTACTTTCAGCTGTTTCTCCTTTCCCTTGTTAACTCTGCTTATACTGTATAATGCCGAGTTCAGACTGCACGATTTTCAAAATAATCGGGTCACTGTTGTTTTCACACTGCATGACTATCTGGGGTAACATTCAGTTGCTGCTGTGTTCACACTGCACGATGGACAACTTCTGCCTGGTCCGCAAACTACGTGTCACAACCAAACAAACGCGAGAAGTGATAGGAAATAACGGAAGATCACGCGTGCATGAGACCGGAGTTCTCGCGTGACACTGAATTTGTTATTAAAAATGATAGCCTACAAATTGTCTGTGCACTAATTTGTAGCGAAAATGAAAAAAAAATAATAAACAGTTTATGCAGGAAATGGTTGGGAAGACGAGGGGAGCAAGGACTGTGTTTTGCAAAGAGAGTTGGGGGTAAATAAATAATTTTGCAAATGTCCTGCTGTTGCTGCTGGTCATGCAAATGTTTGTGCTTTGTTTTTGTTTGATATAATTGTAAATATAGGCCTATCTATTAAAATACTGATATTCTGGTCTATAACTCCTCCTCCTCCTCCCTGTCTCTTGCTCTCTCATTGGCTGTCAGTCATCGCCGATGTAGTTTTCAGTCAGAACACATTCACACAGCAGGATTGTGAATCGCCGACAGGTCCAGATATTTAGCATGCCAAATATCTCACGGGCGTCGGCGACTTGCGGCGATTCTCTCAGATCGCGTCTTTGCTCATTCACACTGCGTGATTGTCACTCGCGTGAACGAGCACCGATTTGCCTGTGATTTCGGGCATTTGTCTGCGATTTCTCAAAACCTGTCGGCGAGCCAAAATCGGGGCTAAAATCGTGCAGTCTGAACTCGGCATAAGCCCTGTGTATTCACTCATTTATTGCGAAGTCTAGTGTACGGAAGTAAGCTATGCCTTGGTTGTCTTCTGCGCTGCCATGTGGATCTACAGTCCTGTCTGCTTTGGCTGTGGGAATGACAAGCGTGCAAGTGTATTTGTTTTGTTGTCCTATTTGTTTTTTAGCAGTTGTCGTTGCTAGGAAGTATTGTTTTGTTTACTGTGGTAACACGTGCTGAAGTCGTGTTTGTTCCCCTACTGTGTCACATGGATTTTCAGTTTCGCTGAGCTAGCATAGCCATATTTTTTGTTAAACAATAAGGAGTGTCCAACGGCAGGTAAAGTACTAAAACAGTGTAAACAAGTACACATTAGGAGAAGCAGAAGTCAGCAGCAGTGTGTAAGTGTATTTGTTCATTGTTTCCTTTGTCTTTAGCAGTTGTCATTGCTTGGAAACATTGTCCACCAGAAGCTTGAGGACATCCCAAAGAGGCACAAAATCACTTTTATGGACCTTAACCTTGACTGTTCCCTACTGGTGGAATGACCTGCTGGTGAAATGTACTCCACCCGAGTCTTTAGCCATTTTCAAGTATTCTTTTTTGTGAATACTTGACACAATTGTTTTCACACTTACTATTCTACTCTATTTATATTCTATTTATTTATAATTTATTTACTTTAAAAAACCTTGCTATGTGTACTTTGCAATACTAACTGGGACTTGTCACAGTACTTACATATTGTTGACCTATTGTTGGTTTGATTGCTTCTATTGTTCTCCTTATTTGTAAGTGGCTTTGGATAAAAGCATCTGCTAAATGATTGAATGAAAAGGTAAATGTAATCTTAACTCCCTATGAACTACTCCCCCACTTGATAGCAGGTTCGCTCTGCAATTCAAGTGGCCAAGGTTGTGCATAGAATTGAGAGAAGCCCCACAGGAGGAGTCTTCTCGATAGTCTGTGTAGTCAGTGAGAGCGAACACCACCATGGTGATTCATGTCAGCCACCACCGCCGTATTGTCTGTAAGAATAAGGACATGGTGATGCTGAACTTGTTGGAGGAAGTATTCCCTCACCAGTTGAACTGCTTTCAGTTCCAGTCCATTTATATGGCACGCATTCTGTGCATTTAGTATAACCACTTGTCAAAGTTCTCATTACCCACTCATTACCATGCCCGGTAGCACCTACCAAGCGTCTGCGAACTGGTCAGTTTGCCATTCTGTGACAAGGAATTGTTCGTACTGGATCGAGCTGGTGCATTGTGCTTTAATAGAAAGAAGCTTGGCGACCTGAAGCATGGCTCTGCTTATGTTGTTCAAGAGTGACTGCTTTGTGACTGATATGAGACACAGCTTGACCTCTTCAACAAGGAAAAGCTTGGTATAACCCAAGTGGTCTGCTCAGTTGACCGGGGAAATGAGTGCCAAACCGGCTGCATGGACCTGGTTTGCAGAATCCATTTAATGGATGCCTGATTTGTCTTGTGAATGGTTGTGTTGATGAATTCCCTTTTAGGCCCTGTTTACACCTGATATTAAGTTGTGTTTTAGTCAATTGGATCTGAAGTGGGTGACGCTATGTATAGGTGTAAACGGAGTCTAAAACATTTTGAGCTTGTCCACTTTCGACCACCTCCAGAGGCAGTCAAATGCCCAAGACTGGATTGCTTTTGTAGTGTAAACGCCACAAACAGCCAACAAAACGGCCACAAAAGACGCCTACTCTCCACCTACTGACCTAATGTATTAACATTATGGGAAGCCAGGCGGGATTTACCAAGACCCAAGTTTGGTTTGAAGATGAAAAACGTACCAAGCACTGTTCTCTCCCCATACTTGACACTCAGACAGTGTGATCCGATCTTAATACCAGGTGTAAACAGGGCCTTTGACATCTTGGTTGGTTACCTATAGAAAGCAGAGTAGGACACCTAAAACTAAAAATGGTACACAAGAAAAGTTCTTCCACTTCCTGCAAATCGATCAATGAAATGTAACTGGATATTGCATATCAGATGCCTGTAAAAGGTAATTTTTTTTATAGAAAGAACATGCTAAAGATAGATATGCAGTGCCAGGAGATCGAGTTTATTGATCTTATTGAGGCTTATGTTTGAATGTTTGAAATGAGTTTATTGCACCAAGTTAAATTTTGCCAATATAAAATGTAAAAAGTACCGTTTTAAACTATTAAAAGGAACATAATGTTGATATGTTTAAGTTATACTTACTCTGTCCTGGTAATATAGAATGGTATTGTGCAATGAAACCATTGCCACCAATATTCCCATCAGTGTGAAATGACACCAACACAGTACTGCTATTTGTATTCAATGTAGGTGGTGCAACATTGCCACAAAATCTAGGAAGAAGTGAATCTTAATTATTAAAAGTTTGAGAGAGATAAGAACAGCCTTGTACAGCAAAATGTACTTAATAACTAATTTATTCCAATGTATGCAGCTTCAAAACATTCCATGTCTGTTTAAGAGGTATCTTGTGGTTTTTTATAGATAATTGTATTTTTTTAGTAACTGACGTTAATAACTGACGACAGGCCATTGAGTTATTAGAAAAGTTGGTAATGGTAATGCGGCCATGTCGGTATATGTTATTTTTTTAATAATATAGTCATTTATCCAGCTTATACTGTGGTTACCATGGCTCAAGACAATGTTCAAACGTTTTATTTCAAAATGTGACAGGTTTTTGTTCTTAAAATGCTTTTGTGTGTAGGCCAAATTTCTCACATCTTATCCCAACCCTCTGTTGCTAATTCCAAAATATAATTTTAAAGCTAGTAACAGAGGCTTATGCCATTGATAAGCAGACTAAAGCTGTGTTCACACTGCCAGTGATTTTGTCGCTGCATGTCGCCAGTGGCTGGCGGTGAGGTCACTAGTGGGTGTTCCCCCTACTGGTTGCTTAGTAAACTATATGAATGACATTCACAGATGTTATTCCATGTTGTAGACACCCAAACCGTTTTCTTGTCGCTAAAAATACACATTGTGAAGTGAAAAGACTAAATATAAATGGAATCAGTACATAAAATACTTAATATTAAAGATGAACAAAAAAGAAAGTGCCAGTCAGGCTGGGTTCACAGAACCATTCAGGCTCGAAGTCAGCATGGCAAGTACCATTATGTACACAGAGACATATCATAAATTAAAGGAAAATTGCTGACTGCTAAAACTACTCCCATCTTGTCGCCAACAAGGATCATGTTGTGACAGATCACGTGCGCTTTTACTGACCTCACTCCAATTGGTTGTTGTGCACGAAAGTCGCACTTCATTTGCATAAAGTTAAACATATCTCAATTTTATTCCATCACTGAACACACTTATATCCTCTCACCAATGGAAATTGCTAGCTCTCTATTGAAATGAATGGGATCATGCCACTTTGTCACTGCATGTCAGATGCCCTATGATCTTGTCGCCATAACGAACATGCACATGCGCCGGCCATTGCAAGTCCACAAGACAGCAAGGGCAAATGAAGTGTGCCATTTAGAACAGGACAGGGCCTGATATAATCTTTGTCATAGAATTCACTTGTTTGTTCACAGTTTGAATTATTTTCAAGACCTGATGTGAATTATTCATTGTTGCTGTCAGTATGGCTATAACGGTCAGCAAAATTATATAAACAGAGGGGTGGTGCCAAAATCAAATGTGCACTATGGATGTTGATGTTTTTGGCAAGATGAAATACCACAAATACTTTTCTCTTTTTTTTTTTTCTGAAGACCAATCACAACAGCCTGGGGCTGGCTGACCAATCACAGCTGACTGGGCTTTTAGGAAGGCAGGTCTTAAAGAAACCAAAACCAGCATTTACACAGAATGTGAAAATAGGTGCTGCAACAAAGTAAATTTTAGGGAAAAAAGTGGCTTTTCGATATTGAAAAAAACTTGTTCAGCCTTGCCTAGGGTTTCCAAAAAGTGATTGTGTTATTGAAGAATTTGTAACACTTTACAATACCTTTGCACTAATATGCATTAATTCATGCTTAACTAATGCACTGATAATCACGTTAATGTATGAAGAACTAAATGAAGAACTAAACCATTAATTTAACCATTAATTAATGGTTACTGCATCAGTAACTAATAAAGAGTCTATATGATTAATAGATTAAGAAATATATGAATTGCTGTTAATTAAAAGTGCAATAGGTCATCTGGGAAATGCTAACTTTAGCCTGCTAGCATTGAAAGCATATGAAATCACCCTCCCATCAAATCGCCGTCCAAAGCAATCCTCCTCCAAAACACAGAAGTGCACAGACCAGAAGCGAGTCGACCAGAGATAACGTTATTGGATTACATCATGTGTCATTCACTGGTGAGAAAACTTTACAGTACATTGAGTAGCAGTACTACAATAACGAATGCAAACAACTTTTTAAAAACCTAATTAGATGAAGCAAATGTTCGGTTGTGTCGCTACCAAAAACTTGTCAGTGTGTAATAATATTACTTGCATGACAGGGTTTCCACAATGATAGTCTGCTTGGCTCCGATGAAGATATACAGTACAGATCGTAGATCCTTTTCCCAGTGCCACTTGTCGGTTCAGAAGGAAAGTTAGGTTGTTGCTGTTTGCCTGCCATTCTCGCTCTTTCTGCACAGCGTACAAAACGCGCTGATGACAAATGATATCTGCGTGAACAGCCAGCGCAGTGGAATGCAAACACACGTTGACTGACGGAACACATGCTGTCATTTCATTCGGACCGAATGAAATGATTAGGGATGCACCGAATCCAGGATTCGGATTCGGATTCGGCCGAATATTGGGCTTTTTAACGGGGTTCGGTTTCTGCCGAACCTCAGAATTTTTTTCCACCGAACCGAACCCTAGGCTTGCACAACGCGCGCTACGTCGAAGTCACCGATCAGTGAATGACATCAAAGTACCGCGTGAACGAATAGAGAGCAGACGGCTCCTTATGCTTTTGAATTGCTCTCGCGGTACTTTGATGTCATAAACTGATCTGTCTGTGCAGCGCCGGTTCAAGTCGAACAAGCCTGTAGTGTAACGCGTTGTGTCAGGAAGAAAAATAGGGATAGCTCACAGCTAAAGTTATTGCAGAGGCCAGACAGACTCACGGAGGCGATTGGCATCTCACAACTCGCACTTTATTCCACAATCGAACTTGTGTAACTGTCTGTCACACGTTCTACCGACCACATCGTTACTTAACAAAATAAGGTAAAAATGAGCATCAAACAGAAATAACCCGCATACATGGGCATATCATGTGTTCGAGGCGCACGGCACATACAATACGGACTGCAGACAGTTTAACAGGGAGCGCGCAGTTCTTAAAGGGGCCACACCTTATTTCCACTCGTCGTTACAGTAGGTGGACCGTTCGAATGCAGTAGGCTGTGAGAAAGTGAAAATGGAACTCGTGAGCAGAAAAACTGTTGTTTGGCAGTACTTTCAGTCAAAAGAAGGCAATTCAAGTCGAGCTACATGTTCAATTTGCAATGCCTATTTGTCTCATGGTGGCAAGGACTCTAAACAATAGGCTACACAACATCGCCGCTGTTCAAATGCATAATGTTGCTTATTATTTTTATTTTTTTACAGTTATAAAAGTAAAAGTAGTGTTTATTATTTACAGTAATAAAATAAAATGAAAAATCCAATTTGTTTACTTCATTAATGTGTTTACTGTGTTAATGGACTGAGGATGAGGGTAGGATTCGGTATTCGGTTTTGGATTCGGCAGAATCTTAACCAGTGGATTCGGTATTCGGCCGAACCCCACAAATCTGGATTCGGTGCATCCCTAGAAATGATTGAACGTACATTTTATGGTCCTACGCCTTCCACAGACGATATATATTTATAAATGCTATCAGGATATGAGGAGACTTTCAACCAGCATAACAAAACTTTTTTTGTAGACAATCACCTATTGCACCTTTTAAAAGTGTCATCATGTATTAATTCCTTAATAACATATAGTATATTAACTAATAGTGTCAATGAATGTGTTAATTACTACAATTGATCAAAGCTACATACTTCAACTTACAGTTGTCTGCTTTAATTAATTATTAGCTAATGATTTGCAAAGGTATCATTATGTTATGACTACTTGTTTAGGCACATGACTATTAACTAATTGTTAAGTAATATGTCATAATAGTTTTTACATCCACATTAAGTCATGGATTTCAATTTCCAACTATCTGCAACCGGGATTCCACTGTGCCAGATAAACTGTCGCATCCAGTACCTTGTTGTTTATGGCAGAGGAATATGTCTGTAACGATGCGGCAAGGACGAAGCAGAGAGAGAATCCAAATGCAAGCACTCTTTTAATAAAGTAAACAGGTCATACAAAGGAACGCGGAACTCAGGACAGGAACATGGAGAATGCTACAAGCAACATCAACAAACCACAACCGACAAACAACAACTGAAACACAGAGGTATAAATACACAAGCAGACAAGCTTAACAAGATAACAAGGGGGCGTGGTTAATCCGAGACACCTGGGGAGACTAATAAACAAGACAAGGAACACCTGTGGACAAAAAGCAAACAAATAACAAAATGACACGACACATGGCAGGATCACATGACAAACAGGGAATCACGTGACAGACAAAACCCACACCGTGACAATGTCAGGTTAAGCTTGAGGTCTAGGATTCAAAGGCAGAACACTGAGAACATGTGGCTGGGCACTGCTATTTCGTAACACTGTGTCTAGACCAGAAAAAGACAACTGAAGCCATTATAGTCAGTGACACTACTAGGGTTGGGTACCGAAACTCGGTGCCAATAGGGAACCGGTTCCGACGTAAACGGTAGTAACCAGACCGAATAAGAACGAAAATTTCGGTGCCTGATTTCGGTGCCTAACTTCATTAGGCGCACACGCACACACACACACACACACACACACACACACACACACACACACACACACACACACACACACACACACACACACACACACACACACAAGGTCTCTCGCTCTCTCCCTCTCCGCCGTGCGTGTGTGCTGCACAGTTTGGAGCACAGTTTCTTCTGTCTCGCATGCGCGCTCTTTCTCGCAAGGTTTGGCTGCATTTCACGTGTGAAATTACGTGTCAGAACCTCTGGGTGTGCCGATAGTCTGAATCCCATATAGAATCAAGCCAATCCGCATCGACGCACTTACGTCGTCATATTATGTTGGCGCGCGCGCGCCATCTGCTCCTCTGATTTCTCTGCCGAAAAAGGAAGCTGGTCGGCAGCGCGAGGAGCTTGGCAGCGTCCCGTTCCCTATTGAGAGATATGTTACACCAGTAACCAGAGATGTTCTCTTCATAGGTTCACTCAACG